TGCAGTCTTGTCTATTGCATTAAATGAAACTTTCGCTGAAAATACTGTTTCGTCCAGTTTCAGGGAAGTTTTAGACATAATATTGTTTCTGTAAAATTTCATTCTGAGAGGTAAACATTGGTCTGTGAAATATTTTAATCTTAGTAGGTACATCTCTACCGTGTAGCATCTCTTATTTATATACAACGTTTCTTCTGAACAAACTTATATATTTCTCTCTCTTATAAGCTTCATTTTGTCTCTTGGCATTTCAGTCTTAGAAGCCATATTTCGTTTGTGTAGCGTTTAAATATTTTCTTCCGAACCATCATGCTACATAACTTACTTTTTATTTGGAGTATATCACAGCTACAGAACTTACATTTCTTCTGCTGAGTACGTCAGTTTTAGAAGACACGATCTTTTTTACAGAAAAAACTACGTTTTAGAAAGTATGTTCCTTCGGCAGAGTTTCTTAAAGTCAAATCATTTCTTAAGAACGAAATAATCTATAGTTGTTATTTAACGTCAAAGACAGAGAGACATGTGCTGAAAAAATTTGGTTACTTAAAAAATAAAAGTTTTATAAAACAAGTGTAATACTTCAGAGAATACAACGTAGCTTTAAAACTGAGATATTCCAGAGAAGTAAAAATATCTTTTTAGTAAAAGAAACAAGTAAAAAAAATATACCATCTAAAACTCGGCTACTCTGCAGATGCAAATAATAATAATAAAAGTGTGTAGCTTCCCAGACTAGGTTTTTTGTGGAATATCTGAGACTTAGAAAGTCCTTTAAATGGAATATTTCAGTCTTAAAAGATACGTTTCTTCTGTGGAGTATATCAATGCTAGAGAATACGTTTCTTTTGTGGAGTATATAAGTGTTAGCGGTCATATTTCTTCCGTGGAGTATATGAATGTTACGGGTTACGTTTCTTCTGTAGAGTGTATGAGTGTTAAAGGTTACGTTTCTTCTATAGAGTATACGAGGGCTACAGGTTAAGTTTTTTCTGTAGAGTATACGAGTGTTAAAGGTTACGTTTCTTCTATAGAGTATATGAGGGCTACAAGTTACCTTTCTTTTGTAGAGTATATGAGTGTTAAAGGTTAGGTTTCTTCTATAGAGTATATGAGGGCTACAGGTTACCTTTCTTTTGTAGAGTGTATGAGTGTTAAAGGTTACGTTTCTTCTATAGAGTATATGAGGGCTACAGGTTACCTTTCTTTTGTAGAGTATATGAGTGTTAAAGGTTACGTTTCTTCTGAAGAGTATACTAGTATTAAAGATTACGTTTCTTCTGTTGAACATAATGTATAAAACAGTGCACTTTGCGACTATCGAATATTTTACCTTACTGAACTTCCCTTTTTTTCCCTGTTAATACACTTTAATCTGCCTATTAAGCTGCAGAACTTATGAATTTTTCTCAGCTACTCTTATGAAGAATTGATAATAGACTGCTGATGTATACTGCTCTCAGGCTTTCTTCCCTTACAAAATTTGAGGCCTTCTAAATAACTGAGACGTGAGAGCTCTCTGTTTTACACGAAGCAGCAACAACCAGATGTCTCAAATGGATAACAAACAGAGTCTAGTAGAAAGCAACTAGTATACAGAAGTGAAGCTTATCTGTCGAATCCAACTTTGTCGCAATTTATAAAAGAAACTATAGTTTACCTTTGGTATATAACAAACGATGTATCAAATTTCCTTATTTCAATTTTGTAAGTTCTTTGTAAAATAAGCATAAAATGAATTATATTGGAATACGAGTGACCTACCTTCGTTTTTAGATAGCACGTGCTATACTTGACTTTGTTAAGGTCACAGATTAAGAACTAATGTGTTTTTAGCTTGTATATAAAACTATACTTAACCACCAGTGCATTACAATCATACAGTCTCCGAGTTATTATTATTATTATTTTTTGCAACTTATGAGAACCAGGAAAATAGTATATCTAATAGTTTAGTATATTAAAAAATTCACATGGTTAAATAAATATTTTATTTTCCTGTGTAAAAATATGTATGGCAAATGATTCATCGAATATTATTGCTTTTCGGTTTCAACAATGATCATGTTCTGTTATAACGCGCTTTTCCCGGTGGGTCAGCGCTATTAAACTCCGGGGTTTGATTCCCCGTGGTGGACAGAGCTTTATGCTAAAATAACTACAACGCTCTTTTCATGTATTCTAAACTACTTACCTGTGAAATCTTATAAGCCAATCTTATACTGAATACGGCTAATTGTAAAGTCATTCTTCACCATTCCATAAAATAAAAGTTCTTATTCCTTTAAGTTTCATAATACCTTTGTATTCCCTGTAGTAGGAGCGTCGTTAGCTACCGAAAGAATTGGGGGCTTGGATTCCAAGAAGCTATTACTGAAAATACTTGAAATCATAAAAGGCAACGTAATATGTTACAGATCACGTAAGACAGATTCAGGTCTCTGTGAAATACATACTGAGCATGGGTCGTGTGGGCTTGCGCCCAGTAACGCCCCTGCTCGGTGGACAGAAATTGACCCTTTTTCTTCTCATAATTAAGCATTCCTTTGCACAAGAAAGTTACATTCTCGCGTTATAAATATAATCCAAGTTTTTATATTTTTATTTAAAGAAGGATAACGAAGAGCGCTAGCTCGAAACGTCATCCTTCTTTAAATAAAATTATAAAAAACTTAGCGATTGTTCAACCTACTATTTAATTTTGATATCTTTGTTGCCTGTACGGTTTCAACTATATGTTTCTTTTATAAATTTAAGCCGACAAATACAACTATTATTACAATATTATGAATACTTACACTACAAGCCTACACTACAGCAGGTGCCAAAAAAAGTGAGTTTGCTTAAAACAGTGTTTGTTTTTAAGGCTGAAGCTACACGATGGTCTGATGTGTGTTGTACCCCCCCCCCCCCCGCGGAAATCGAACTCCGATTTTAGTGCTATAAGCCCTCAAGCTTATTGTTGAGTCACCAAGACTTACATAAGAAAAAATTATATATACATAATTCTTACAACAATATGAATAGAAATATTTCTGGTAT